GAAACAAAACTCAAATCCTGGCAGAAGGGGGGTCTGGCAGCCCGTCTGCAGACCTTTCTCAGACTTGAATTGGACTTAGGTCAGATTCATGAGTAACACTGTTTCCCATCATGTGTGAATCCTAGCTGGCTAAAGTCTTCTTGGCCACCCTATTAAGCTAACACCACTGTAATCCATTTAGTCAGGGAGAAGTTGGCACCTGCCTATGCAGGCAGCTAAGCTGTTTTTTGCTGATCTGAAGCATAGTATGTGCCAGTGGGATGCATGTGAGGAGAATGATTGCTTTGGGACATGGCTTGTTATCCTGTTCTGTGTGATTGCTAGGGCCTGTCAATCCTAAAAAAATGTGAGGGGTGGAGAAGTCAAGGGGTTACATCCTAAGAACTCTTTGTTTAGATAATCCTGGCTCTTGTAGGAAGCAAACAGAATTTCAGGGTCAGCTACACACGTGTGTTTTAGACCTTTGGAGGAATCCATCTTTAGATGGGTGTACAGTCTTTTGACGGCAGATGTGAACTCATCCTGCTTGTGCTCCAACTCAATCAGCAGCAGTGTAATTACATTTCAGGTAACACTGAGCTGAAGCAGATGTATGGACAGACAGTGGCACAACATCTGGAAAACAGACAAATATATGCAAAATATAACAGAGGTCCGTTTGCTGAAGAAATAATTGAAATTCAAATTTTTGTTCTTTTAAAAATGCAGGCTGAGAATAGTCTAAAAGACTCAATGTTTTATTTACAGTGTTAGAAAATGATCTACAGACTATGAGCAAGGATTGTATTAACAGGAAACAACTGCTAAAAAGCTACTCAAAATAAGGAGGACAACTGAATGATGGTTCTTGACATGGGCTGGTTTCTACACAGAACTTTTCAGCTATTGAACTGGGAGGGAATCCAAAGAACAAAGTGTTTATCTGAAATAAATGTACTGAAAACTAGAGGGGATACAGATAAACATAAAACCCCACATATAATCTCCGAGGATGATGGTGACATAGTATGAGTTATGAAATCTGACAATATACAGGGGCAGATGGTTTGTCATAGCAAATATCAAAAGTTTAAAAAGCTGTCTGGTTCAAAAATAGTGCTTTTGTTTAATTAAATTCCCTAAGATGTGAAAGGGCAATTACAGTCCTAAAACAACTCCTGGCTGTTAATTTCCAAAGCAACTTTGTTCACTTGATATATAAATGACCATTTTCTTTCTTTTTTTCTGCCACCATATAGGGCTTGAACCATGGGTGCCTGGTTGTGTCACAAATGTAAGCTGTAATATTTTTTAACTGTGGGAACAAGTTGAAGGGGGTGAGGTGTATTAAGAAGCTTTACAGTCTGGATTTCAACTTCTTGGATTCAAGCACTGGCAGCATTTCAGGTTCAAAGGTTTTTGTTTAAAATGAGGTTTAATGTGCTTAGACTGTAGCATTGCCAATAATATCTTGAACTGGGTGAGTTTTATTGGGTGATTCATAAAGAAAGTCAGACAAAGTATGCACAGTGGTATTGGAATGTGGGTGGGATCAAAGTAATTATTTAGTGGAATATGCTTGTCAAGCTCAGCATACAGGAAATCTTCTTTCTGAATAAAGATGGATTTAGCCCATGAGAACCTCAGTATATTTCCAAGTGTCATTTATTCCAGTGAACCCCAGTGAAAATACCAAATAAAAAGAGAAAGCTGCATCGTTCACCTTCAGATATTCCACTGGCAATGAGACTACAGTCAGACTTGTTGGGAGTAAAGGGCAGGAAAGTTAAAAAAAATTTAAAAATAACGTGTAGTTCCAACACAGAAGAAAATTCTATGTGTTCTCTAACAGGTTGGTTGCAACGTTTTATGTAAATACAATTTTGCCATTAATTCAGCATCCATAAGCCTGCTGAGCTGGGTTTGTTGTGATTGTACATTTGCATGCACATACCTCACTCTTTCTGCAGTCTTCCTGTTCACATCTCTTTCCAGGCAGGATTTTGAAATCCACAGAGTTAATTTTGTTTCTGAGACTAAGGAGCCACTTGTACTGAGAACAAGGAGCTCTAACATTGGGCAACTGAGTCCTGCTTGGAGGGTTTTATACTGGTATGAGTGATAGTGTTGTCTTGAGTTCAATTATTAAAAAGCAATTACATCTATAAAACATCTGTTTTAATATATTATGTTTAATTTCTTTTTGGGTCCTGATCAGGATATATGTCTCCGGATTTTTTACACTGCTTGCTAAACAGTAGCCTGCTGTTATCCCTGGTTTCTCCATTTTGATGCTCTTGGAGGGCATAACCACCTTGGAAGCCTGGCCATGCTTTCTTACAGCCCTGCAGGGCTGAGGGATGCCATGGTCCGATCAGCAGAACCCCTCCACTCTTGTGAATACCCAGAGGGTAGCATGACGCATGCCATACCACACAGTGTACATGCACTGTACATCATGGAGCTAGAGAAGACAGGCTTTCTTGTTCCAGTGCCATTTTTCAATGCCTTGGTATGGTTCAGTGGCTAAATGACATTTACAGTGGTCCTAACTGCTTCTGTGTCAAAATCCATGTATTGGTGACGTAGGACATCTTACTGAAATAAAGGAAAACTAGCAAAAGGAAGGCTGAGGCTACCCTGTTTCACAAGGAGGAGTTTTATGGAGGACAGGGAGCTTGCAAGACTCATATTCCCACAAACAGGCAGAATCATAGAATCACAGAATGGTTTGGGTTGGAAAAGACCTTAAGATCATCGAGTTCCAACCCCACTGCCATGGGCTGGGATAAGACTGGGATAAGGTGAACTCTCCTGCTAACAGGAGCTAAAAGAAAGACTCTAGCTTTGACCCTATTCTGGAAAAGATTCAGTATAGGAAACAGTGCAGATATAATATTTTCAGAGTGCTTTCTGTCTTTGACTTTGGAAGGCAGTCTGCTGTTTTTAAAGACATGTGTATAGAGAATTAGTACTCCACAGATGCTATTTAGCTCTATATACCTAACAACTGTGTTTTTTTTAAGAGTATGAATGCCATTAACCCATAAGTTTATGGATCAGCTTTAAAATAATAAATTACATCCTTTCACTCAAATGTACTTTAAGATTTAAATGAGATTAAGTACACAGGGAAGATTTTAGTTTGTAATTTGCCTCAGCAAGAAATAGATGAAACACAAGTCTGTGCTTGCTGTGGTGTCCTTCATTAAAAGTTAATCTGTACAGTCCTCAGAATTATCAGGAAACAGAACTACATTAGGATATTAGGAACTTGAGAATAAAGGAAAAGTTCTTTCTCTTGGAAAGCTCTAGTTTAGATGCCTTAATTATCTCATCGTACCTTTTGGTAAACGAACAGAAAAGCATGTCATCTACAGCATGCCAGCGCAAGTTGGAGGAGAGGCAGTGAAAATTTGGCTTATCTTGAAAAAACAAGCTGTTAGAGCAATTCTGTTTCTTTGATCCAGAGACAGAGATTTCATAAAGATAGAGCTGGGAGCAGCATGTCTTGCTTTAAGATAAACTTTGTGTGTTCTTAGCCTTAAAAATCTCTGCATCCTTTTTTCTTCCACATTCATCTCCTTAGATGCCACTAACACAGCATATGTACCTAGAGCCTGATTACTTGCCTATTTCACTTCTTCACTTGGGCTGGATAAACAAACCAACCAGCCCTCAGTTTGAGCTTATTTTTGGGGTGACCGGCCCAAGAATAGGTGTACAACAGGGTTCCCTCAAAGGGATGCTTATGCCCTTACTTCTGTGTTGGAATAAATAAGACATTAAGAACTTGCTATGGGATAACACACCCAGGGAGCTCTGCATTTGGATAGAAGTCTTTGAACTCACACAGTGTCATTTACCTCCCCTTCCTGCAGGATAAAGATAGCTGGGAGTTCAATTTTTCCACATCCTCCGTGCAAATCATGTGCGACCCAGGTCCCCAAATCCTCTGTTATTTCCAGAGGTCTGACTTCCTTAATTCCCAGGTTGCTGTTTGCTATGCAGCCACAAGCAAATGCTATGATTCAGGTCACCCAGATGCCCAAGTGCTCCCATTCTCTATGTAGGAACCAAAAAAGAGATACCCACCGAGGTGTAGTTCATCTAAGCATTTTTGGAAGAGGCATTAAAAACAAGACACAGGCCCAGAAGTTCAGTGAACAACCGTAGTTTGAATAAAGCCCAAACTGTCCATGGGCTAAGCTCCTCCCTTGCTAATGACTGCATAAAACCCTGGACCAAGGGGCTGGGCACCACATCTCCTTTCCAGCCTCCTGTCTTACTGAAAGGATTTATTTAGCTTCAGCAGGACTCTCCCAAACCCAGACTTCAACAAAGAGCTGAAGAGCTCAACCAAGAGAAGTTTTTGTTTTTTAATATGGCCTAACACCAAAATGAGACTTTTGACTCTCTGGTTTTTGACTGAATTATATTTGGTCTCTGCCAAAGTGTCAAATTTAACGATTTTCTAATCCATTTTATCACCCTTCTGATAACATTAGAAAGATCATGACAGTAGCAGTTTCTCTTTAAGGTTCTCCTGCAGATAGATCTTCACTTTGCTGACTCAATTACTGTAGATAACTACTGCCAGTTCTCTTTAAACTACACCTTCACAACTGACCTTTCCAATTACTGCTCTTTCATTTTTATTCGTCAGCTCTTAAAACTTTTCTAACTGTGAAGGTGAGAGATGCGATCTACCTTATACTTGGTGAAGGTATGTCTGCATACGCTTAGAATGCAGGATGAGTATAGAACTTTGCTTGTCATTAAACTGTTCAGTCATCTTTAAAGGAACCACAAAAATGATTGAAGGGGAGGGTAAAAGATCTGGACTGATAAAACATGCTGCACTGTGTATATTTCCAATTTCTGCTCTTCAAGATAGTCTCTCAGCTATTAGTTATGTCAGGGTAATCAGCCCCTTTTGGTGCACTTAAGGCCCTGACAAGTTATTGCTTATTTGAAGATAGATATATTATTACTCCTCATTATAAAAATGAAGCTGTTGATCAAGTAGTGCATTTAATTAGTAAATATTCAAAAACCTACAAAACATACAGACTTCTCATTTATTTTTAGTTTTGAACAAATTCAGATTATATCTGTGTTGGAGGCACATTGTGAAGTCCATAAACAGCCAGTATTACCACTGATGTACATGGAAATTGGAATAAATATTAAGCAAGTATTTGTCCTGAAAAAGAAAAATACAGGCATCATAACAGCAATAATTATAATTTGTGTGTCCAAAACTTCGCAAAGCTACAGTCTTCTTTAAGAGTTAATTAGTCCTCATAAAGAACACAGACCCAAAATGGGATTTGGAGTTTATTTCAAACATCCTTCTCATTTCAGGACTGTTTAGACTGGCAGTGGGAAAAGGAGAGGTCGCATTCCCAAACTCAGACTGAAACTCATTCAAACACACAAAAATTTTGTTCAGAGCAGAAACAGGGAAAAAAGAAATAAAGTTAGGAACTCTTAACTTTCATGCTGTAGAAGATTGTTTTGATTGATAAGAATTTCTTAATCAGCTTTTTCTTCCTATGAGATTTCTTTCTCAGGTTGTTTTCCTATTTACTGTTTGGACTGCAAAGAACCCTCTCGCAGTTAAATCTAAACAAACAAGTCAAGTTTAGCCCACAAGGTATGTCTCTTCAGTCACCACCTGGCCTACAAATTTTAATTTCTCCTTTTCAGTTGCCTCATGAACACCCCAGTTCCAACCAATGCAGACAGAAAGATAAGAGTGACACCACAAGCTGCCTACAGACACCCTACTCGCCACCTAAACCACTGTAAGCTCAGAATGGATAGATGCATTTCCATTTGAAAATGTTAATTTGACCCTTGTTTGGAAGATCCCTGTTTGGGTCTTCTGTAACCAGAGGAAGTACCTGTCTACGTGCATTCACTGCCTGATGATTTAATGAGAGAAATCAATGTGAGGTTCAAACCTTCTCTGGCTGGCAGCACACACACACTGGGCATGTTTTAGACACTGCTACTACCACTTGGCAGGACAAATTTCTGACAGTATAAGAGGCCTGTTATCTCTCCTTGGCAATATGCACAATAGAAGCCTACTTGCTTGACAGTAAAACATTGGCCTTAATATAATACCCTTTTCATAGTTTACAAGGCTAGGCTTAATTAAAAGGAGAATTGTGGATGCCTTCCTTTCATTTGGTAGTAAACACAGGGTCCTTCACCCCATACAAATCTAATGGTGGTAAAGTGGGCAAAGCTAGCCAGTAGATACTACGCTATTCTTTATGAGAATAGTGCACTATGGAATATACTGCTAGAAGGAAACAGCCGTACTATTCAGTAAATACAGTAGTAATTTATGAGACCCTCACTGGGCTGCTCCCGCAGTGAGCTGCAAGGCAAGAAGGTATCACTGTCCTGCCGCAAAATCTCCCTGCATTTTAAAATAGAGATCTCTCTCCAATTATCACTCCAATCAGACAGCGTCTGGTTGGGTGAAGCTTATCTTTACATTCCCTTTTCAAGCAGCAACTGACAGGTATCAGCTATATAGAAGCATGAAAAGAATGGAGCAAACCACCAGAAGTAAACTGAGACAGTTCACGTCACCTTCCTGGACTCACTCATAATAACCATCATGCTGTGTTCTCAAACTGTACTCCAAATTGGAAGTCTGAAGAAAGGATGTGCAAAACAAAACATGTTACAATAGGTACAGACACTACCGAACTGCAACCTCAAATGCCCACAGTCAGTGAGCCCCTTGTTTTGAACTGCACCTCAGTACACAAAATCACAACAACCTTTTGTTTGGATTGGTGTTTACATTGCAAACACCTGCATGCTCATGCATATTTTTGTATAGAACGTAACATATTGCTGCTCATACAGCATCATGGGCTCACATCAGTATTTTCATGAGGTTCATATGAAAAAGGAGATTGATAATAAGATATGGAGCTTTCATCAGGAATTGATTTTATGAATTCATCCTGTATTAGTCATATACAGGCTGAAGGTAATATACAAGCCAGAGCAGCTGGATGGCTTTTGCTGGACTAAATGAAACACATTAGTGATTTCAGTCTCAGTAGAAAGAGCTCTAACTTGATTCACTCATGACATATCAAGCCTGATGTCCAACGTCAGCAGCTGGTGTTGACTGGCAAATTTACTTGGCAATATGGACATATAATCTATTGGATCACTGAGTTCTGACTTGTGTTATTTCAGGTCATCTCAGAGATTTCTTTTTATGTATAAAAAGCTCTACTTTTAAATCAGTTTTCTTTTTGTTTGTTGCTCTGACAGCTACTATTAGAAAAATTTTCCAAAGCCTTGGAAAGCCCTTCTCCTAACTTCCAGAATAAATCTATCTAAAGCTAAATTTTTATCTATTTTTGGATCTGATATTTTGCTTTAGCTATTTCCTGCCCTTTCTTGGTGCCTAATTGCCTATAGTATATGTAGTGTTCTGAAGTTGTATCTCAGTTTCTGTTTTTCAGGTGCAAGAAAAGAAACCTTTTTTGATTCTTTCCCCACCTGACAGTCTCAGTGGAGAAATGCAGTGCTGTCACCAGCTTGGGACACTGGCACATCACTTGCAAAGAATGAGAGAGCTTGCATGACTACTCACTACCATTCTCCTGTAACAGGAGATTGCCCTGGGGATTAACAGCATACCAGTAGAGTAAATTTGACCCTCTCAACAAACGTACACCTATTCTGCCAAAAATATTCCTCAGGCACTTTAGGAACAGTGCATCTGATACAAGGTCTATCAAGAAGCATGCCAGTAAGCTTTATACGAACAGGGGTTTTTTTTCAACAGCAATAATGCTGCTTTTCAAAGGATTTGGCAGTGGAGCTACAAGTAGGTTCTTGCAGAAGTTTATTCCCTTCTGTCCTTTCCCATCAGATTTTCTCTTTGGGAGGGAGCAACTGGACCATATAAATGCCACAAACAAGAGATGTTAAAACATGAAGCAACACTACAATAAAATGAAGTAACAGGCAGCTGCAGATTCTTCTGGGGCCTAATTCACTTTTTGCATGTGAAATGAAGTGGAATAGCCCAACTGAAGTTCAAAAAATTGCAGTGGCTTAAGACCTATGTGACTGAAATCAAAATCAGGCTCTGAATTTCCACCAGGTCATTCCTGTACTTCTCTGGTTTTCATCTCGGGCAGGAATCTCATGCTGGCTTCCCAGAGCAGCCCTTTTCTAACCATTGTGGTGATTAAGTAAACAAAAAATAGCATCTTCCAGAATTTTAGCCACTTCCAGAATTTCGTAACCACTGGATTTTGCACAAGAACGAGGGTCTGATCTGCAAGCTGTCCCTCCTGCTCAAAGAACTGCTTGCTCAGCAGCAGCTGCTTTCATTTTAAGAGATTTTGGCAGTTCCTTGGACAGGCACCAGCGAAATGTCTGCTGTCTGTGGCAGCAGTCATTACTGTATTGCACATTTGTGTCATCCATGGGATGCAGAGGTATTTCTCCCCAGGCAGCACAGAGTTAACTTGCCTCCTGCTCCATGTCTGGGGAATAAGAGCTGGGATGGCAGCCCATAGTAGGAGGGCCTGGACTGAACTCCACAGTGAAGAGGAGGGATAACATTTTTGTGTGGGGAAGATGCTTGCCAAGAAATCAAGACAGAAAGCAACAGTGGGAGAAAGGAAGTAACTCATCAGGTGCTTGGGACAGACAACAGCAGTTCTGGGAGCTGGGTGTGCATCAAGGTCTTGGACTCATCTTTCTCTACCTAGGTCACTCACCAGAGAGAGAGCAGGAGGAGGAAGGCAGATGCTTCCGTAAGTCTGGGAACATGGCCAGCAACTCACAAACATCCAGTTTCCTACGAATACAGGCTAGGTAAATACCACTGCACCACTTCTAGAGAGGAAGAGACTGAGGTTGTAGAGAACTTTTAAACATAGGACTAGTTTTCTACCAGCATGAGGCACAGAGGGGCAGGAATATGTGCATAGGGGCAAAGAGAAGGGAAGCAGCAGCAGCCCCAGTATGAAGACAGGCTGAGAAAGTTGGGGCTGTTCAGCCTGGAGAAGAGAAGGCTGCATGGAGACCTCATAGCAGCCTGGAAGTATCTGAAGGGGGCCTATAAGGATGCTGGGGAGGGACTCTTCATTAGGGACTGCAGCTATAGGACAAGGGGTAACGGGTTAAAACTTAAACAGGGGAAGTTTAGATTGGATATAAGGAGGACATTCTTTACTGTGAGCATGGTGAGGCACTGGAATGGGTTGCCCAGGGAGGTTGTGAATGCTCCATCCCTGGCAGTGTTCAAGACCAGGTTGGACAGAGCCTTGGGTGACATGGTTTAGTGTAAAGTGTCCCTGCCCATGGCAGGGGGGTTGGAACTAGATGATCTTAAGGTCCTTTCCAACCCTAACTATTCTATGATTCTATGATTCTATGACTGCTGGAGGACCACATGGCAGGACAGAGCCAGGTTAGGTACCCAACCCCAGATCTCACAGCAAGGCAATGCTGCATGCAGGAGGAGAATAACTTAGTCTTCTGCACTCCTGGTCTTGTGCCTCTAAGCAGGAGGCTGTCTTCTTTCGCTATTACATGAAAGCAGTGGTGCTAAACTGAAAAAAAAAACCTTGAGTGAGTGATAGGATAGTTCCACTTTAGCTGTGTAAGCAAAACAAAAAGAAAGACAAAGTGAAGGATGAATCAGTCCTACCCTCCCAAGACTAGTGCTACCTTGAATTTCTAGACAGGCCTGAACAAACTTTCCAATTATCACACTCAGAAAGCACCTTGAGCCAGATCACATCTTGCTGGCTTGAGCACCCCTCTGAGGACCTAAATATCTCAATGAATTTGAGATCAGTGCAATTGCACTGATATAAAATGAGAATAAGATAAAGGATGGTCTGGCTTCTGGAAACTAAAGAAAGTGATTTCTGAAGAGAGAACAGATTACTTGAACCTTTAAGGGAAGGCTGCTGAAAAACAAAGCCCCCTGACTTTCTATTTCCCAGAAGGAATATACAGTTGGGTAGAAAGAAATGAGGTAAATCACTGCTTCAAAACCTGTAATTATTCATTGGATGAGAGGCTACAAAAGGGACAAAAAGGCAACCTTTAGGATGTTTTTCTTTGCTTTTAACCAGCCATTTGAAAACACTGCAACATGACCAATTCCTCAAAAATGTTTTCCTGACCACAGCGTCTTGCATGCAGACAAACACACAGATTATGCCAGTTCCTGGAAGAATGAACGTCATGAGCTTTTTTTAATACTGGAGTACATGTCTGTTTGTATTGTTGTTTTTCTCTTATCTCTCTAATTTGGGGGGATATTCCCTCCCTCTTTTTTGTTGTGGTTCCTGGACTCTGTTTAAACAAGTACAGTAGGTTGTTTTTTTTTCTCCGGTTGTTCTTTTTTTTTTGTTTCGCTCTTCAGATTTTTTGCCTGTGCAAGTAAAATTGCCCTTCCTAACACTGTCTCTCATGGTGTTTCAGCCTGAACAGCTTCCACGGGGTCACCTTTGTGCTACTGTTTTAAACAATTTGCTTATTTGAAAGTAGCTAATTGGTTATCTGCTATATTCAGAAGTAAGCTTTTGAGGGCTGGGCTTTATCCCTTCCTTAGTGAGGGCTCCTGTCTCACCACTGTGTATCTGAGAAGCAGTTTCCCCAGATAAGAAGAAAGATGGGAATCTGACTTGTGCTGGTTTTTATTACAGTGGTACTGAGTCAAGGCAGCAATTAGGCACGTACTCACATGCCTTTGAAGTTGGTGGGATGTATTACCATCTTGAAAATGGAGAGGCTTAAGCAAGTGCTCTCCCAAACTGGAACTTTATTAATTGCACTCTAGTGCATGCCTGCATTGAGAGGCTTTGGAAAGTTCAGGCGCCTCAGTTAAAGCTGCAGAGTCAATGCACATACAGTAAAGCACATTAATCTGTTCTGTGGATGCTCTCATTGCCATTACATCATTGCAGCTTAATCCGAGCATCCCTATGGACAAGCCCTCAAGCTGTGCTTGTGACACAGAACAGCTTTGAACACACTCGGCCTCCTTCTGTAATCCACAATCTAATGTAGATTAGAATCTAATGTAATTCACGTGTTTTTTGCTGAAATTAATTTGGCTGATATAACATTTTATGTGTGCATTGAGCAAAAATCCCCAACTTCAAGAATTCCAAAATCGGGACCAAAGGGCTAGATGACTAATGGGATACATGAAAGACATGGAAACGTTTAAAGACGTGACAAAAAAAAAAAAAAAAGAGAAGAATTTATGGAAAGGTGATCCCTAACCACAGCACTGTCTGTGAATCTCAGTCTCTCAACAGTGGAAAAGTCTGAATCAAAGTTACAGGAGCAACATTAAACTTTGACTGAAAACTGAAAGAAAGGATGGGGGTAGGATGGTGTAAAAACCTTAAAAATTCGTATTTGTAGAGCTAATTACGAGCTGAAATGTCAAGCTGCTTTAAATTAGTTGTGCTTTGAGTGCAAACTGCAATTGTTCTGTTTCAGTGAGTGTATCCTATTTACTTATTGAAAGACTTCATTGTATAACACATTCTTGTGGAAAAGCAATGAGCAGACAGACTCCCAGCAATACTCTTGGCTGTTTGAAAACCTGCTGTGTTTTGTTTCTCTTCACTAAATTCTCTTAAAAGAAATAAATCAAAGCTTAATTAAATCACAAGCATCTCTGCTGAGCGTCTCCTTTGATTTCCCTTTTGACACTCTCTCCTGACAGGCTGTGATACTCCACTAGAAACGCTTTGTGTTCTCCTCCTTGGGGAAAACAACTACTCTGCTCCAAGCATTGCCTTGGCCTAGGATTCGGGAGCTCTGGAAGAGGCTACCAGTGGGAGCAGAGGACCCCATGTGGAACTAATTAGTGACATAATGAACACTACAGCAGTTTATGGGCAGGAAGCTCTTAATGACGTGGCAGTAATCTCACAATGACTAATCGAGATTTCCTTCATTTCCCTTTAGCAATTCTGATACATTAATGAAAAAAAAATAAAATAGAACTGTAAGCACAGTAGAGGTTATCACTTGAAATACCTGGCAGACAACGCACTTCTGCTTTCTGGGGTTATAGCATGCAATTCTTCTCTATAAACTCTGGGACTTTGGGACTGAGAAGAGTGGTTACACACACACACACACACACACACACACACACACACACCCCATTGATTTCAGCCCTAATACTCGCTGTGATATAATATTTAGCATAACTTTTCAATCACGGAGTGCAGCCCTACCATCAACCCAAGGCTGACTGGTGTAACCAAAACCGGGTATGTATTAGTAGGATTGCATAAGAACAGAGTTATTCTTTCAAAGGTTTCTCTTTTAAAGTTATCCTTTTAAAGGTTTATCTGCATATGTAAAGGCAAACTTAAAAATACAGTGGATGGATTCAGATCGTTTCCTGCCGCAGCAGTGCAAACCCGGTGTCTAGACCAACACATGGTGTGTGGGTCTAAGGGTACGTGCAGCCCATGAAGGATGCACAACTCTCTCCCCAGTTGTTCCCCTCACAACACGCGCTCTCCCCGCTCACAACCCTGTTCCAGGGCGCAGCACCGAGCAGAGCAGCTTCTCCAGCCCCTAAAACGACCCGGACCCACCACAGGCCTCTCACAGACGGGACCTGCGACGATCGGCAGCCGGGGGGCAGCGCTGAGGCGGGGCCGGGGCCGCGCACATGTGACCGGCTGCGGCGGTGGGGGCGGCCCCGGTCGCGGTCCCGGCCCTGGCCCCGGTGCCAGAGGGGGTTGTGGCGCGCCGCGGCGGGGCAGTGCGGAGCGGCGGCGGTGGGGGATGTGGAGCGGCCGGGCCCCGAGCAGATGATGGCGATACGCGAGCTGAAAGTGTGTCTGCTTGGAGTGAGTACAGGGGACCGCAGGGTTCGCTTACCCCCTTTCCTTTCCTTGCCGCCTGGCAGGTCGGGACTGAGGGAGATGGGGCGCTTGCTAAAAACGGGAGCGCTTCCAGCCCCTCTCTCTTTTTCCCTCCCGTCGAGAGCTGCGTCTCTCCGTCCCGGGCAGGGGGCTCGCCCGCGGTGGATTCCTCCACGCCGAAACTTGGCACCCGCGCACTGCGGGGAGGAGAAAGGGGGGCTTTGGTGGCCTTTTACGTGTAGGTTATGCCTTGTTTCTGAACTTTTAAAAAGTGAGACGGGCGCAGCGGGTTGGGGGTTGGTGATGCGAGGGGAGAGCCTCCCACAGCGCTCCCCGGAGAGGGGCCGCCGCCGAGCCGGCTCTGCCGGGCGCGGGAGGCGGCGGTGGTGGTGCTCCGGCGGAGGGTCTTCCTCCGGTGCCGGAGCTCCGAAAGGCGTCCGGGAGGGTTTCTCTGCCCGCAGACCCCGCGGTAGGCCTGGCTGTCCTGTCACTCGCAGCGACGGCGGGACGCGAAAGGGAGGAAAGCGGCACCGAAAACGGCGTTTTGGGCGGCTCCTTGTCCCGGGCGCGCTGTGTCACCCATGTGCCGTGTCGGTGCTTTGTTTAATGATTCACTTGTGTTTATTCAGGGCTTTTGCTCGGCTCCTTGTGGGAATGTCCTTTCTGCCGCTGATTTTTCTTCTTTTTCCCCCGTCCCCTTTTTGCTCGGTTTGGCGAGCCCGTGTGTGCGTTTCACATCTGGAGCAGCAATGTGCTTAGCTGTGCAGTTTGGCTCTCCTGCCCCCTCTCTGCCCTGCGCTCAGGGAGTTTAACAGCAAAACTGTGCTCACCGGGTTGTTACAAGCACCGCTGGAGAAGAGTGTCTCCTCTGCTGACGGTTGCTAGCAGAGCATCACTAGTCGGTTTTGTTTAGGCTGCCCAGGGGGGTCGTGGGGTCTCCTTTGGAGACGTCCAAAACCTTCCTGGACGCATTCCTGTGTAACCTGCTGTAGGTGGCCCTGCCTTGGCAGAAGGTTGGACTGGATGATCTCCAGAGGCCCCTGCCAACCCTAACGGTTCTGTGATTTATTGATATATTTAAAATCAAACATACCAAATTACCATGTGTAGGTTAGGCTGCTTTTAGATCCCCATCTCTGTAAGCATTCAGAAAAGTTGCATGAATGAACGCCTTTTAGAGTGAATTCTCTTTCGTGCATTATCAGTGAGTTGGACATTAAAAAAAAAACAAACCAGGCAAATACAGACACTCGAGTTCTCTCTGACTTGTGTTGACACTTACCCCAGACGGAGTGGGTACATTGCCTCTGGAGTCAGTGGCAGGATGTGGTACCAGGGCACTGGAGAGTTCAACCCAAAGTATTTGGCAGTGACCATTCGTCTTTTCTCGGAGAGAATTCCTGCTGCTGACTTTTAAAATGGCACAGAGACAAAATAAATGTGGTTTATACAAACATGAAGAGTCTGTGGTAGAATATGTGGATGTGTCTTATTTCCCAGCAGAAAATCCTGTAATTTTATAGAGATGAAGTTGTCCTGTGGGATGATGTTCCTCTTGCCCATTATTTATTGATGGTTTGTAACATGAAAATGTACTGGAGGTTTTGCAAGGCAATTGTTTACTTCTTTTAAGACAGGAAAAGAAACCTATAAAGCAGCTCTGTGTTACTAGGAGTATGCAATTACTCTGTAGATTCATTAAAATGACAGGGTGGCAGTGGGAACACTCAGGAAGATGTTAAGTGCCTGTAGTTAGAGATGCCAGTAGTTATTGAGATGCTCCTTCTTGTGTTTTAATAGGGTATAATCCTAGAAAACCATCTACTTTTGATCATAGACATCCCATTTACTATGGAAGTTAACACTCTGTTTTCCCAAAAGAGAGGAATCCTTTAGATGATGAATCTCTTCAGGGAGTTCTGACAGATTCCAGGACAGGGAAAGTCCATACCTGTCTGTGTAAACAAGTGCAGACGTTAGTCTGATCTGCTTGAAAACTAGATGATAACTCAAAAATGTGTTTTCAGGTCTACCAAATCTTGGCGGCTGTCTGTTCAGTAGGTCCTGGACCTAGTAGGTTAATCTGCATTGTATCCAGTAGACCCCCTGGTCTGGGCATGTCCAAGTCCCAAGATTACTTCATATGCTTATTAGAAATAGGGATTAAATCAGTTTGTAAACCTGTGTCCCTCTTCACTTCTGAACAAAGTCCTAGGCTGCCCCTCTAAAAGACAGGAGGATCACTGATGGTCTGTGGCCCTCAGCTGTGCAAAGGGCATGGGCGTGGGCAATTTCTGCCACCTCAGAATTCCCCAATGAGGAAAAATTGTAGCTGGCTCAATGTTTTCAAAGCCAGCTTCTCCCACAAGCCCCATATGGCTGTAGGGGGTCTAGATGGGAAGGTGAGGAGAGACTGACAGAGAGAAGCCAGAGCTGTACTCCATGCTGCTGGCCCAATAAGCTAGCCCAGTGCTCCAGGCTCAGTGTTTGGCCTGCAGCCATTGTGCTAGAGGTGGGGAGTAAGTATCAGCTTCTGAATGTAGCCCTGCGTTGCCATGAGGGAACATGGCCTGTAAGTTTTAGTGTAAATCTAGCAAAACTGGGATTTGGGTATCTGCGTTTCACTTCCTCCTCCTCCAGAGTATCTTGGGGTTTTTAAAACTCTCTGTGGGTGTGATGGGAGCGATCTGGAGCAGCCTGGAGTAGTGTGCAAGAAGGGGGTGGTCTTAGAGTTTCTAGATGGTGAAGGTGACACCAGCAAGAGAACCGCAGAGAGGAAACTGGAGCAGGTAAAGGGTAGGTGAGTCAGTTTGGGAGGCAGGCTTTGTTGATGCCACACTTTGTTATTCATGAACTCAAGCATGCTCTGCTCTTTGAGGAGAGATGGTTCCAGCTAGCAGGAACAGGAACATGGTGGGCTGGCAGGAACAGGATGCCTACCTAATTGTGCAGTGCCTCACAGCCTGAGGTGTAAGAGCTGCGGAGGTGCAATTCTAATGCTGTCTTGAGTATGCAAGTGGCCTCAAGCCTGCTCCTGAACTGCTTCCACAGTAAATTATTGCTGCTGGGCAGTGAGGTATCTGCACGCAGAAGATGTTAATCTTTGTAAGTGCAAATATTGAGCACCTGCTCCAAGTCCTGTCTTGTCATCTCAAACTCTTCCTGGTCTCTTGGTCCAGCCTGTTGTTCTCAGCAGTTCTGCCTGTATTAGAGACTACCTCTTCCTGGGGTGGCGCAGGTTTTAGCTACAGCCCAGTTTATGCAGTGAAATGAAGTGCAGCTCCCATTTGACTGGAGTGATGTTTCTGCCCTGAGTGAGCACCCTCCTGAGGGGGTGAAGGAGGAGGGCTGGTGTGTTCCTGAGCCATGCTTCAGTGCTGAGATGTGTCTGGCTGCCAGGTTTCCTAATCTGGCTGTGGCTGCTGAGTGCCATGTGCCTTGGCTCTCAACATTGTCTTTATGTGGGCTGGAGGAGTGATTTACAGCTCTCTGCCAAGTCCTGACATAACTCTGTGTGGCAGCCGCCGGAGGGATTGCCAGGTTTGGGGCTGAGGCAAAGTTTCTTTTCTTTGTCACTTCCTGAGGAAACTTTGACAGCCCTTCAGTGAGGCTTTGGGAGGTGGCTGGCTAACTACCGTCTAAAGTGACTTCCATTACTCTTTTCCTTGTGTTTTTGTTTATTACATTTTTATGCTGTGACTGTTCATCACAGGACCGAAGCAGTTAGGAAAGGGAGAGGCTTAGAGGTCATCCCTTGACCCTAAAGCTCCTCTTCTAACTTTCCTGACATGTTTGTTTTGTTTGTTCCTTAAAAACTCAAGATGAAGTTTTCTTTTGTCACAGGGTTATGTCTCAGAGCTTAACTGCTCTTACTGTGGAAAGTTTTTCCTGAACATAGTGCCTACAGCCTCTTTGGTCGAGACTTCATTCTTTTCACCCCTGTTTGTGTTTCCATTTTCTTGTTCATAAGAAGTCACTTGCTGCCATGTGTTCTGCTAGTGTGCAGTCTGAAGCTGGTAAGCCTACGTTTGTAAACGGAATGACGTTTCCTCTCTGGAGGAGAAGGTTTCTTCAGGTGTTTCTTCACAACTGAATCCCATTTGCTGGTATGGAGAACGGTTTATTACCTTTGGCAATGTCTCATACCTCAGTGTGCAGCTCAGAATCGAGCTCAGATTTGTTTGACATTCAAAGTAACTGGGAATATGATGATAGTTTTCTTAAGGAGAAAAATCTCTGCTTTTCTTACCTTTGTATCATGATAATGTAAAGCTCTGGATTCTGATGGTGGAGAACAAATTCCTATAAGCTGAGCATATGCATGCATCAGGCCTTTCAGTGCAAAACTTAAGTACCCACTCTTCTCCAAATATCTATTACACTGAACGTGTAGGACTGAGAACCTTCTGGTTTGCATTGGTGTTTATAAACGACAACAATTTTACTACTCTTTTGACTCTAAAATGTTTTCATTATTAATGCTCTTAGTGCCTGAATGTCCCAACTCAAATAGGAGCACTGTTGTTAAAAACAGGAACGCACCCCTGGATGGGTTGTACCAGTTAAGGACCTTTCTCCTCACTAGATAAGTGCAAGGGGGTCTACACATTGAGCATCCTACTGAAGACAGTAACGCTACATAGGTGCGGAAGCTGTGCGTGCATCAATGCTGCAGTGCTGTAGCCTAAAACAAAACAAGAGGGACCAAAGTAGTGCAGACATTGAAGGTGGTCCCAAAAACAGAATTGTACTGATGAACTAAATATATGTCCACAAAGTATCTGTCTGAGAGTGGACAGAGACTTGCAAGTGATTGTTTTTTTTCCATGTTAATAGTTCATCATCATCCACTTATTCATTATGTTTATTATGTAAACAAGGAGCTCTATCATGAGAAATTTTTGAATCATGACTTTGCATGGCTGCCTGTCTCATGCAGTCAGTGGTGTGAAGTGTACATCATTGCAGCCTTTCCATCAAAGGAG